GACACGAGCATCAACCCTCTGAGACTAATTATACGTCGACAATGACCCCAGTCTTAAACTAATGGTAGTCTCTGAACATATATATATGTACCTCGTCATAAATATCGCACCAACCACCTTTTTCACTTAGTAAAACTGTATCTACAACCTCATTAAAATGGTGCTAAGAAAAGCACATTAAACTGTTTAGATGGCCTTATTTGAACAACACAAGACCGTATTGGAGCACTAATTGAAGGTTTAATCGTAGCAAACTAAAGTTCACTAAAGTCACCGTAACATAAGGTGAAATAAATATGACTGCCCGGGTCATTACAACAGACACACAACACAGTTCAGATTTCGTTAATGTTGAACACACTGGTAAGGTCCACAATGACTGGCTAACTCAGTATCTGGCGTAACCGCCTCGTACATAGATAACATTTTCTACGCGCCGTCGCATGCTGGCCACCAGACGTCTGATTGGAGGATGTACTGCCATTCATCATGCAATGCATGGGTCAATTCCTGACTGTTCTGAACTGGAGGATCCCTTGCTCTCACCCTACGTCCCAACATGTCCCACAAATGCTCAATAGGATTCATGTCTGGACTTCTGGCTGGCCATGGTAGTGTGTCAATGGCATTGTGTTGGAGATGCTGAACAACAGCTCGAGCACGATGTGGTCTGGCATTATCGTCCATGAAGACTGGACTTGTGGCGAGAGCATGGTTATCGGAATGAGGCACTACAACACCGTCCAGGATCAAGTTCTGCTACCTCTGTCCATTCGATGACCCGGGAACTGTGATGATGTTAAGTTTACAGTCATAGGAACAACATCCCAAAACCATGACGGATCCACCCCCAAATGGAACTTCAGCTTGAATGGTCATCTGATCATATGCTGTGCCTCTGTGCCTCCAAACTCGTGCCGTCCCGTCTGTGTGATACAGCAACAATCGGCTCTCATCGGACCAGTGGATCCTTCCCCATGTCCTCAGGTTCCAGTGAGCACGTGCTTGGCAGCAGGCTAAACGGGCATAGCCGTGCTGATTTGTGAGGAGTGGACGTCTGATTGGTCGTCTTACTCTCAATCCTGCAGAATTTAGGCGTCGTCTGATGGTGCTGATGGACACTCTGTTGTATAGATGCCATCCATGTCTCAGCTGTGTACAAGTAAACACTGAGCTTTGTCTGGCATGGCGTACGAGAGCACAAACTTCCCTGTCCTCGGTTTTTCTGGGACGTCCAGACTTCGGTGCATCCTTCACTTCACCGGTATGCTTCAACAGTATGCTTACGCATCAACCTGCTGATGACAGTGTGATTAATGTTCCGTTGTGCTCCAATAGCAGGAAATGACATACTAGTTTGGTGCATGCCAATAATTTGCCATCCTTGCTTGGGCATTTCACTGGTTGGTCACAATAAAGCTTAATTTATGCCTAAAATCAAATTTTAGCTGTGTCTGCCCACATAACATACGCCAAAAGGGGATTTACAGCAGACCGACCTAAGAACATGCATGCTTAAAGGTCACATGCAATCAAAAAATCAAACATAATTAAAACACTATTATCACTTATTCATGACATATAATATGCATTGCTGATTATGAAAAAACAAATAAACAAAATTATAAGCGTATAATCGCAAGTCAAAAGTGCAATATTTTGTACTTTGGTTTACCTCCCTCGAAACGAAGCAGCCGGGATACCGAACCCAGTAAGAGCGGGTGGGTGTGCACTCAAGTGTAACGCCTGGTTCATTAGCAGATGCCGCTTTCGCGGCTGATTGTGTGTGTATATATAGAAAGTTGGGTTTTGTAAATACATGCTCATTTTTTGTGTATAACATTTTGCAATCAACAGACATCATAACATGTCATGTGTTCAAGTATCACACCTGCCTGTCTGTGTAATTACATAATGTGACAGAGACCGAACTCGGGCCATAAATCCATGCGTTTTGTTTATGGTGTATAGCCTGATTGGTGTTAAGTTCAAACTGCATGTGGTCAGTGATCGCAGTTGTGTATTGAATATTGTCATTAGCAGACAGGCAGGCCGACACACAGGTGTCAATAAAACAAGACATTGAGTTTTGTCTGTGACAGCAACATATCTATATCACAGTTAGAAATTGTGTCAACTCTAAATAATGACATTGCTTTTAAGTATCGAACTGAGAAAGTGACTCTGTAAGAAGAACGTGGGTGAAATAGACAAATGAAATTATATAAACTGTTTATTTACTGTCATAACATACAAAAAGCTCGCGCCTGTGAGATATCAACAAAACTTTATGAAAATAGCTCACACCAAAGCCTTCACCAAGTATTCACCAGACAGCCCGCTTCCAAGTTGCGCGAACCTATTTCACTGCGCACGTGCTATGAGCGCAGCCCAGCTGTTGAAACCCGTATTCCCCAGAAAAGTCTGGGGAAAATTAATGAAACGTTTGAACTCCGATTTCGCGCGGTTTTTTTCATCGCGTTATTTTTCAACTTTATAAGTTGAATTTGCATTTTTGACGCTTTGTTTCGGTAAGTCCATACCGAAAGGTATCAGAATCTGCAAAGTTGTGTTTTAGGTTGCATGTGACCTTTAAGGCATGCATGCACGTGCAGTTCGGAACAGGGTGTGTTTGTGATGTTATGGTCACAGATGGTGTCGTATATTACATATCTAGGTGTAGTATAAAAAACCCCGACAATTTTAGTTCTACTTTGACTTTCAAATGGGTGGTGCGATACTTTTGACGAGGTGCATATATAGTTTTCACAGGAACCAATGATTCCAATTAATTTGAAAAGGAGCCCCAGTGTGACGCGTGATTTAGAACCTGAGGTAAATCTATCCTGATCCATTTAGGCTTTCGCTTTGGAGACGGACTGTGAGATGAATACCAAAATCAACACCTAAATTACTGCTGAATTCCACCCCTACACCCTACCCCCTACCCCCGACCCCCAATCACGATCCCGACTGCCATGACCTCCCGACCGAACGCCTGTTTCTCACCCCTCTACACTTAACGATCCCAATTCACGCTATCCTAACTTTGGCTCTTATCTCAGCCCTACCCCGATTGTATTTCCACATTTACTCCCCTCCCGTCTTCTGCAGAAATTCCTACCTGCCATGTTGGTTACCAGGTAACACTGGTAGCCTAACCCTATAAAGCGTGACATGCATGCCTTGGACACATGTCCATTCAAGCCTGAATTCCAATACAGCTCGGATTTCAAAAGCAAGAGACCAGGGCTTATAGTCACAGCCAACATGTCAGTGGTGAACGTCGGGTACAACCCAACTTCACAAATGAGTCGGACTAGATCATGTTTTCTTACCCTATGCATATTGACCGTGACTGTTATTGTGGTACTTATATGGAAGAACAAGCAGAGACTTGAGGACAAATTCAGGTAATTACTATATACACAAACATGGAAAATATATTGTCGCATCTGTATTATTTTAGCCAAAGTGACGAGACCAATTTCATCCATGTACTCCAAAATAACCAATAATTCAAATGATGAAAGGCTAAATCCACTACTCTCCCCATATAAGTGGACAAAAGAGTGGATTATCAATTTTAATGCTCTATAAATAATCATATTTTTTGTATGGATGCAAACAGGTATGATATTATATTATTTACTGAATCATTTATTGAAACAGTGTCATTGATCATGTAGAAACAGATGAACAATGATAACACTACATTTCACTTCATTTAAAAATACGAAACGGACTTGGATCAACAGTTAATGCTAAAAACATATAGGCTTGAACACAGTGTTCGCATTTCAGGGTAATATGTTGGCTCCTGTTTGCGGTACAGTCAGTTATTTTTAAAGGACTCGCGTTTTATCTTTGACCTTGTTACAGCTGAGTTTGATTAAATATTCCCCTGCCCAGGGGACGTAAACTGTGCTCTATATTACCTTGCCGTGTTCTAACAGCACAAGGTTGATTTATTGATTGGAATGTTGCACTTGCTTTACTGTTTTTTGTCACGATATACTTATCTGGTTTGTGTCACGATATACTTATCTGGTTTGTGTCACGATATACTTATCTGGTTTGTTGCATGTGATTATTAATAAATAACTTGCGTACTTGGTTAAATTGGTCAAGTTTTCTAGATTTGATTTTAAATGGTGAATTTGATGTGGTTGATTTCATTAATTCATTGATGGGACATTTGATAGACAGGTCGATTAATTGATCGATTGGTTGGTTGGTTGTTTGGGGACAATTTCGGTTGTTTGTTTGTTGGTTTGTTTGTTTGCTGGAAGATGTATTGGTTGGGTGCATAGGTTGGTGTGTTGGTTGGGTGAATGATAGGTAGATGACTACGTGTAATTAAAATCTACCTGATCGTGACATGTGCAAAGCCAACTGTAAGTGAAAGAATGAATATAACATGTACCAGGCTTATTGCAGGGCAAATGATGAATAGTTGAGCATTCAGAAAATGAACAATTGTGCAATCTGTTCGAAAAGGTGTTTCCAAGCAACATTTGTAAAGTGATAGAAGATAATTGGAGGGGATGGGTCTGTAATTGATTTCTTTTTCAAACCTTATTGATCAAAATTCATACCTCATTTATCATTATTGTGTTTGCAGAAACGTACCTCTCAGTGACATCATTGAGGGACATATAATTGTAGAACCAAACAGCGGAAGAGTGGTAAGCGGTGTTCCTCGCTATCTGAATGAGGCAAACATGATCAAGGGAGGTAAGCAAAGGGATACCCGGAAGTGCACAAGTACACACCGCTCCACAATGACGTTATTAAATCCACAGCCTCTGTATAGACTCGGTGACGTCATAACAGTGGAGATCAACACTTACAATCATTACGGAGAGAAGCAAACAGTTGGCGGCGATTTCTTTAGATTATGGATGGAAAACACAGAGGACAAAGTTGCAGTTGCTGGAGACGTCTTCGACAACAACAACGGCAGCTACACCGGTTTTGTCAGAGTCCAGTGGTCAGGCATGGGAAGGATCCGCTGCTTTCTTGAGCGTCGAAGGGAGGAACTAGCGATGTTCTATTCCATCATGGCTGAACATGGAACGCTGTGGCAGCTGAAACGGGAGTTCGTATGGGGCTTCTTGGTGAAAGAGAGTACGAGCTGCACCATGTTACGGAACCGCCTAGGAGACATCTGCAACTTTACTTCTCTAAATGACGGTTTCCCGTGGTACTGTGAAAAGCCGAAGAATTCACTCTTTAACTGCGACACCTACAGTAAGGCCTGGTCTCCGAATAAAGCATATCTTCCGAAGGAAACACAGCAACGTGACATATACTATTTGTAAGTATGGTTTTATTTATTCTATTTTATTTTGTTCCTTAATATAAACCAGATTGTGTCGTTACCAAGTAAAGATCGACCCCGCGCAATACATAAGCAATTTAGATGTTTAGAACTTTTGTTAAAGCAGATTACAGTGGGTTTTTGTTTTCACTTTGACGCTGATACTTTGAAATGATTTCATTTGTCAAAATATACTACAGAAGGGGCTTTTCAGTGTGAAAAACATATATACATACACACGCATACACACACATACATACATACATACATACATACAAACATACATACATACATACATACATACATACATACATACACATACATACATACATACATACATACATACATACATACATACATACATACATACATACATACATACATACATACGTACGTACATACGCACATACATACATGCTCTATGAACATATAACGTAGCCTTTCAAGGCTATCATCAACAAGTTGAACCTCAGTTGCATCACCCATCCCTGCAAGTGACAGAAAGAAACGTGCCTGTTTCAGATCATCTAAACCGGACAATGATTTCCTTCTCTCCACCTTACAAATTACAAGCGAAATGGGTAAGTATGCGTCAAATACTTACCAAATATCTAACTATGCAATATTTAGATATAATCCAGTGATCAACATCTGGAGCATCGAACTACGCAATTGGGATACATGTTTCAATCAAGTCAGTGAGTCTGACCACCTTATTCCTTTAGTCGCCTCTTACGACAAGCAAGGATTTCTGAAGACCAGTTCTTACCGGGATCTTCTGGTGAATCGCATATTCAGATCAAAATAAGTAAAGGACCACCCAAAACCTATATATTGCAGTTTGTTGCTCGCATGTTGCTCGCATGTTGCTTAAATTATCCGTCGTGACAAGATCACAACTTTTCCAGGTCTGTATGTGAACCGGATATTGATGCGAGTGCGAGTATGGTTTTAAGCCGCTTTTAGCAATATTCCAGCAATATCACGGCTGGGGAAACCAGAAATGGACTTCACACATTGTACCCATGTGGGAATATTGATGAGGGTGTTTGACGTAGAACAAAAAAAGGAAAAAGGCAAAACACCCAAACTCAATCCGACATTTCAATTACTTATTTTTTCCATCTTTCAGAAACTGGGAATAGGAAGATGGACACTCCTAAAACGCCCTGCGGTCAACTATCGCCGAAGTATACCTGGCAACGCAAGCATCCTGTTGGAGTTATTCACAGAACTAAATGGAAACCCACGCTGTGTGTGGACACCCTAGAATCTACAGCCAGGGCATATCGACAGTGTTTAAGGAACCGACGACTTTGGATCCCCGGGGACTCAACCAGTCGTCAATTCAAGGCATCCCTTCACGACACATTTAACCTTCCACGTCCCTCTAATGATCTCAACCCTCAACTCTTGGAGGACAAGCAAGACAATTTCTCAGTGGCATGGTTTGCTCATGAATTCCCGCTGTTTCACGGATTCGGGCGCTACTCTTCATTAACAAACAGGGCACAACATATTCTTCTTGAATCTTTGCCCAATAACACAGTGGACATTGTGGTGCTGTATTTATATGTCCACTTCAATTTAGTCCACCCGGACATATACCGCCAACATGTTCAGCGACTGGCTCGGGCAGCTACGTCTCTCCTTAAACGGGCACCTGGTGTCACACTTGCTGTTCGTGGACCCTTTGCTTATTACAGGAATCCGTCTCAAGAGCTTGTGTCCTATTGGGGACTGCTATATACAGATATATTGCATGAGGAGTTTTCATCTATTGCCCACAGAGTGGTGTATATAGACTACTGGGATATGACAGTCGCTTTGGGCCCAAACCACATTCATCCAGATACATCAACGGTTAGAACTATGGTTCACTATATGATGTCTCTTCTCTGTCACAGACGGGTGGGGAATACGACTTAACCAGCCGATGCAGGTGCCTTAATTCGTCAGCTGATCCGTCTCCCCTAGGTGTGCTCATCAATTGTTCCAATCCACGATTTGCCCTAAGTTCAAATCCCTGGTCTGTGAACATTCCAACGACTCTGTGTTAACCGTCCACGACTTTCTCCAATTGGTTTTGTTGAAAAAGAGCATCGCTTTTCCGCCCATTGTACGTTTGAACATTTTTACCCTTTGCAGACACTTGTTGGACACTCATCAATTAACCAATTGTAATTCATTTCCGTCAAATGCCCATATACCGGAAAAGCGACGTATTCGTTGTTGCAATGTCATATCATAATGATTTCTTTTCAAATGATTCCTCAAATATGTTACAATATGATGATTTTCAGTGATCGGAGATATAGGGGGAAAGTATTTTAGTCACGTGTTATATCTGTTTTCAACTCTACTCAAACAGTTCAGTACTCTAATCAGTCGACTGAAGCGAGTGCCCAGTTATGGTTCTTTATTAAATATCAAAATCAGCATTGTTAAACATCAAAATCAGCATTAAAATGACAAAATATCAGTCAAACACTGTTGTGTGGAAATGAAAGTTTGATGTCTGCGTTAATCTAATTTACTTTGGATAACTCGAAGTATGTACCCTCCAACTTTGCCTGTACAACCTGAAATGTGAGGCAAGTCAATGCAAAACTGAAGACAAATGCTTCATGAATATGGTGCATCAAAACGACAAGCGGAACATATCTAACAGTACCTTCCGTATTTTGACATACGTGCTACATTTGAACAAGGATGTTATTTCGGTAGAGCACGTACATTTGTGCATTTTGATCGCTGTGCAGTGAGTATATGGTTTTATACTGCTGAGAGTTATATACCAGCAATATCACGGCGGGGGAAGCCATTGTGTCCATACGGAGAGTCACACCCGGACGTTCGGCGTGACACACGTGCACGTTTCCTCCCTCATCGCCCCGATATTGATGACCGATTTCTGCAAGTCTGATCCTTGGGAGATCTTCACCTCTCAAAGAAAACTTAAATCGCGAAAAAAGACATATAGTTGTGATCCATATATACTTTTATGGTTCTAATGGCAAATTCATTATTCGGAATCTTAACTAAACAATACACGACGCTAACATACTCTTCTCACTAAAGGTCATAATTTGACTAAAATGCAAATAAAAAACCTAAATTCCATGAATTAAAGTCGAACATTAACCACTATGCTATATTACAGTATAGTTGATCATGATGTTTGTGGTCGCAGTACATGGAGTAGCGGATGTTAAGGTTAGACTAAACAAATATTTTCCCATTGAATTTTATAGTATTCTTATATTTTGTTTTAAATTAACTAAACCATCAAATGCTACTGCATGCACATGCGTGAACTGTCTGGTATTAAATAAAAACATAAAAATGACAAGTTCAAATAGTTCTTTTCCGAGCACAGGAATCTAAACACACCAATCAACACAAAATGTAACCCGCTTGAAAATATCAGTTATCACATGCAGTGGAAGTCATCGTGTTAAAACATACGGTTCTAAATATATAAAAACATGTATAGCTTTGATTACTGGATAAATGTACAAATGTCATTGAAACAACACAAAAATTATTCAATCTGCTCTGAAGGATTTGGTGCAATATAACCTACATGGTCAATAATATTTTTACGTCACAGTCACACCATACTTTATGCAGTGTACACATTCAATCGTATTTCTTTGACTGTTTACTCTCCCTATAATATTGTCAGTGATGAAGTAAGAGACAAAAAAGAATAATAGAATTTGAAGCAAATAGGTCCACAGTAATATGGTGGAAATATTGCTAAAAGAGGCGTAAAACCATACTCACCCACTCACTCCTTGATGCTCGCAAGTGTTACAGGCATACGTCTGAGGTAATGTTTTGTAAGTGGATATCACTTTCGCATATTTTAGTTCCTTAAAACCATAGTTCAACTCAAATACAAGTGGCCGAGGCCAATATTCTAGCTTTACAACGGCGGACTGTAAATAATCGAGTCAACCAGAAAATCCAGTGATCAATATCATGAGCAACATTGAGCATCCATCTACGCAGTGGGGATACGATGACATGTTCCAGCCAAGTCAGCGAGCCTGATCACTCCGTCTGTCGCCTCTTTGTTTCCTGAAGCATGGATTGCTGAAGACTCACCAAGATCGTAATGTGTCTCTCTACTACTACTCCTGCTGCTGCAGTATTTACATCGGGACTAGACAGGGTCCCGATCCACAAAGCGTTCGTAGTAATACGACATTCGTAACTCCATGATAAACTATAGAGTAACGACAGGTCCTGACGTTACGAATGCCTTGTGGATCGGGACCCTGGAGATCAGTCGAAATCAACCGGCACCAATTACGTCATAATCAAAGGGCGGTAACTCTGGCCTGTTTAGCTCGGCAAACAAAGGCCAAATAACGGCATAACATTTATATTGAGCACTTATATTGAGGGTTATACTTTCATTGTAAGAAAACTAAATTTATATTTTCAAACAATGATATTAACTAATTTAAAAAATCCAGTTTGTTTCTTATAAGAATAAATGTGTTCACTTCCCCTTTAACGCAGTTTATGAAACATTCAAGCAACATCTCGACAAGGCAAACACAAATATGGGCTCAAACATGGTATTCTTAGGTGAATCGTACACGTACGCGGTGTTCCAACTGACAGTTGGGACAAAGCCAAGCAGAAATGTAACCAGAAAAGAAAGCTTTATTCCAATCTTGATTTTCATCAGCCCTACACCAGTTTAAAAGTCTTTCTTCTTCTCTAAGGGTTTCATTACATTCAGGAGGACTTACTCTATAAATCATCTCATTTCTGATATTCTTAACTTTTTTCAATTTCCCCCTTCTCACAATCTGACCAAGTCGACGGCTATCCGTAGTACTGAACTTCCTGTTTTGTGCTCAATCCCAACTCCTGACCGAATATTCTTCAAAGCTCTGTATTCTGTAGAGAGAGGAATTTTGATGTCTACCAGCTAGCTCTTTTGCATTAGTCACACCCCTTTCAACAAAGGAAGCCAGGGGAGATAACCCTTGATCTAGTAAGGTTCATTCTTAGGCCTACAAGGGTTCACCTGACTACACAGGGTAAGACCTATTTTAAAATTCTATTATTAGTATTAGGAAACAAAGATTTTCTCAGTAATTTCTGGGAAAACTGTACATGTACGTTTAATTCGGCTGATCGTTCTGGTAAGCTCTATTCTAAAATAGTGTATATAACCCCAAAGGGGGAGAAGTAAGGTCAACAGATATAGATCATGGGCTAAATTCTTCTATCGTTTCGGCCAAGATAGAGTGTAAAGATTGTAAAGTAACCCAGATAGCAAATGCTGCTTATTCTACACCAAACATCGTGAGAATCTACCTCTAATGTTAACGTGAATCTGAAAATACTGACATATACTATGTCGAATGAGTAGTAAACATAAGATAGGAATGACTCGTGTACTGTTATTTGATCTTCATTGCTGAAAGCTGGACACAATCAATGATCCATTTTTCAGCCACGTTTCGTAAAACCCTTTACTTAAACAAATAGTTTGATATGAAAGAAATTGAAAACAAAAACTTAAAACAGATAACACAAAATAAATCAAACAAACAAACAAAGAAAAGGACAACATACAAACACTGGAAAATAAACCAGTGGGCAAGTATTTTCTCTTTGATTCTGTGTAATTTACAAACAGTCCTTTAATATGCTAATGACAACTGCACAGTATTGCTTTAAGTCTTCTTTGCAGCACGAGCGACTCTGTCGTTTAAAACGCCGCAATGGGCTATGCAGAATTGTGTCTCTATGCAGACAGTAAGCTATGACCGTCGGTTTGAATCCCAGTTCAACATGATTATGTTTCTAAGTCGGTCACCATATCACCAGAAAGTGGAAAGCAACTGACACATACACAACTTTCCTCCATTATTTATGAAACATCCCGTGACATAACCATTATACTGTTTAAAGAAACGGTAAACTCAGCTCTCTTACAAACAATCTGCTTCACGTGAGAACGGCGTCATATTGGGGTGAGAACATACCACAAAGGCTCATTAACAGTATAATATATTTGTGGCCGAGGCGACAGGGCACGCCGCTCTTTGTTGTTGAGTTTGGCCACATTTCCGTCCTGTCTGTCAAAATTGGGAGCAACATCTTCGAAAATCACTGACAAAGCCAACATATCGGCACAGAAACCATTGTCCAATTCGATTTCATAAGAAATACATTTCTTTAAGGATGTAATAAGGTTTATTGAATTGTAAGTTGAACACTTTTTTCCCTATTAGTTACCCAGAACCATATAAAAAAAAAACGTGTCGGGCAGCATAACAGGAGCCGAATGCCAAATAATCTAGTCTTGTCCGTTGTCGTGGAAGAACCTTTATGAAATCAGTTTTACGCGTTTATGAACAATGCAATAAAAGTACTTAATACGTTATTGTGTAAATTGTTCATCCGTATGCAAGCACTTTCAATTATGATGACCAGCTTTTTATGCTACTGGTTGACGAAGTCTGACTCGACGTAGAGAAGTGGTTTGATCAAAGGTTCTTCATTCACCATCATAGGAAAGCGTTCAAGATGTTTTTTCAGGTACATCGACAGATATATTTTACGGGTGATTCTTTTGATATCGTTTAAAGACGTTTATATTTTGGTTAGATTTTCCTAACGCATATTCAAACGATCATTAATACTGTCGTTTATATTGAGCGTAAGTCGGACAACCTGCTCAAGCTAGGTTTTATCACTTCAGTTCCAATTAACGGGTATGTCCTATTCCATTTCTTTGCATGGAACGACATCGGATTTTTTGTTAAATGGTTTTAAATGGGTAGTGTCATGTGCCTTCCCTACAGTCTGTTTGTAGTGAAAACCTACCGATGAATCACTTCAAGCAACACAGTAAAGTCCAATAAAGTGAAATTAAGATACGTATTTTAGAGTGTGTCGAACTGACTCGCACATATTGTAGACGGTTGGTTAAAAAGTCCTTTATCCAGAGAGAAATATGAGTATTAACATTTACAGCACACAGTTTCTGTAGCATCAAATGAGGTTGTATAGTAATAAAAGCCGACCTAAAATCCACATTAAAACACGGGCATACGTTTTGGGTGAATCAAGATGTTTCGTGATTGCATGTAGTAGGGTCACTGTGGCATCCTCAACACCTCGCTTAGACTTGTATGCACGCTGTAGTGGATCAAGGTAATCTTTAATATCATACTGGAGACGCCGGAGCATGATCCGTTCAAGGCACTTCATGATAATAGATGTCAATGCCACTGGTCGATAATCGTTAAGTTCTTTAGGTCTTGGGATCTTTGGAACTTGAATAATCTTGGAAGGTTCCCATATTCGTGGAATAATGTGAGAGTTATATGATTCCTGAAATAGTTAACTGAAAACATACGATCGTTCTGAGCAGCATTCCTTCAGTACTTTACAAGAGATGTTTGGTGAAAGTGGCTTGAAAGGCTGTCCTTAAGTGAAGGTGTTTCCAGTTAAGCAGGGCATGCTGATATGGTGTAGCTACAAGTTTGGTGAAGGTGGCTTGAAAGGCCGTTCTTAAGTGGAGTTGTTACCGGTTAAGCAAGGTTACTGATATGATGTAGCTACAATTTTGCTGAAAGTGGCTTGAAAGGCAGTCCTTAAGTGAAGGTGTTACCAGTTAAGCAGGGCATGCTGGTATGATGTAGCTACAATTTTGCTGAAGGTGGCTTAAAGGGCCGTTCTAGGTGGAGGTGTTACCGGTGAGGCAGGGCATGCTGATATGATGTAGCTACAATTTTGCTGAAGGTGGCTTAAAGGGCCGCTCTAAGTGGAGGTGTTACCAATGAGGAAGGGCATGCTGATATGATGTAGCTACAATTTTGCTGAAGGTGGCTTAAAGAGCCGTTCTAGGTGGAGGTGTTACCGGTGAGGCAGGGCATGCTTACCTTTTACGCGAGCACCTGGTGTCGTAACTGAATATCGCTGATCCATTAACTTACTTGGATTACTAGTTTGCCTTTTACTTACAATAGGTTATGGTCCCATGGGGTTTCGGGTTAGAATTGGTCTTCAGCAACCCATGCTTGTCATAAGAGGCGACTAAAAGGATTGGGTGGTCAGATTCGCTGAATCCAACCCAGATATTCTGCATGACGAGCGAACGCTTTAACCACTAGGCTACCCTACAACCCCCTTATCCTGGAGACAGCCCAATGCCTTAATACCATGTGTACATTGTCCTAATTCACGAGGTGCAAATGAATAAAACACACAATAAGTTATTCATAATGTGTGGTTTTCGTCTGATGTTAGGTAAGGTCCAGCTGCATAATAATACATGATGATATACTTCAGTGACCACTACAACTACACCACCTACAGCTGCAGCTGCTTGCGTAGCCACAACTACTTTCACTGCTGCGACAAATACTACATTGTACTTCTAGCAGCAGCGGGAGTAGTAGCAGCAGCAGCAGCAGCAGCAGTAGTAGTAGTAGTAGTAGTAGTAGTAGTAGTAGTAGTAGTAGTAGTAGTAGTAGTAGTAGTAGTAGAGAGACACACATTACGATAATGGTGAGTGTATAAGTTGGAATGGTCTTCAGCAACAAAGAGCGACAAACGGACTGATCCGGCTCCCTGACATCGTTGGATAATGTCATCGTTTCCCAATTGCTCAGATAGATGCTCATGATGCTGATCATTGGATTGTCTGGTCCATCCTCGATTATTGACAGTCCGCCATCATATAATGCGAATATTGCTGCGCGTTGCGTTAAAAAAAAAAGAAAAGAAAAATATATCAGTTTCTTTTGGAAAAGGGCGGCAGGTCAGCAGACGAATACTGTCATATGATGTTCCAACGAACACTTTCACCTCTGAGCTACCTCTGATGTTATATGATGAACTATTGTAAGCCTTTCACTCATATAAAATCCGTCCGGCTAGGAATGGAGCACCTTTTCAATCACATGTTGATAAGCATTGTGACCCCTTTCTCCAGAGTAAACACAGATCTCAAACAACAATGAACGCGCCCAACCCCGCATAAGCATGTTGTGCCCAAATATGAAAGGGAACAATACACCCGTAGAATTGTGATAAAGGATATGAGATATATTTCCCATCAAAAGTTTAGACTCACTAGTGTAACTATAGCCACTTACTTCAGGCAACCTTTCTGAACTAAATTTTGCAAAATATTCCATTCTGTTTAAAGGTACTGTTCACACATGAACTGGTGCATTATAAAACAAATTCGTAACACTGAAAAGATTATTGTCATGAGTTCCACGAATGATAAAACTCAGTGAAAATTGGCGAATTCTTAACACAATTTTACACCAAAACGCTGCTCTTCACATGCATGAAATGTGCACATGCTTTTCAGCAATTTGATGCATGATCTTCGTGCAATTCATCTGAATAAAGTTTGTGGTTGGTTCCCCCAAGTTAGTGGGGAAATAAATCTTTGATGTAACCATACATACATAATATATAGTGCGTGTTTTAAGTGAGTCTAAACTTTTGATGGGAAGTATATTTATGTGGAGGAACATGTGAGTGCATAGTATACAGTGATCTTCGAATGTTTTGTGAGAAAATGATCAGGGATACTTTCTCCAGTTTAGCCAACTAACAATCAAATCGAACACGCTGATGATTTTTCTTGTCTCGGACACTTGTGTGTTTGAGTCGAACTATGGTTATAACGAACTAAAATATTACTTGTGTTTCATATGACCACGGATATTTTCAAGCGAGTGACATTTTGTGTGAATGTGTCTGCGGAAAAGAACTACATTTGTTTGAGCTTGTCATTTTTTGTTTATATATAAGACAAGGCTATGCACACATGTGCATGTAGTACCTGTTGATGGCTTACTTTAAAAATAATAGAAGAATACTTTAAATTTTAATGGGAAAATATTTGTTTTTGTGTAACCTTAACGAGAGCTACTCCACCTGCTGCCGCCACGAACATCATGATCAACATTAATATAATATCACAACGCATGGCTCGACTTAAATTCATAGAGATTATTATTTGCATTTTATTCACATTAGTATCCTTAAATAAGAAAAGTATGTTAGCGTCGTGTATTTTATTCAGTAAGGACTGCGAATATTTAATTGATACTGGATACATAAAAGTATATTTGCTACTACCACCAAGAACTGCACTCGCGGCAGATTTTGTTGTTTTTGTTGGGTTTTTTTGAGAGCTGAAGACGTCTCAAACTAACGAAAGCCGGAGGGGTACCCCATTGGTGAAGGTGTTTGGTCGTCACCGCGAAAGTGATTCGATTCTCCGTATGGATACAATGGCTTGTTCAAATGTAGCGCGTATATCGGAACACGGAAGTAGCCTTTGTTATTTCCATGAATCTTATTCATGATTCTTTTTTCAGAGTTTTTTTATTGATTTACCTGACATATCAGATTGATCAGTCAAACTCTGTTTTTTGATAGGCGTTTTAGAAGTTGTCAGGATGAAGGAAAACCAAGTACTGTGGATAGTCAACTTCTTTATTGCAATGAATGCGACCTTCAATAGTCTTAACCGGGTTTTCCTTATGTAAATACTTCGAGTTATCCAAAGTAAATCAGGAAATCGCAGGGACCAAACATTCACTTCGAGACAACCGTAAGTTCGACACATCGAAGTTCCACACAATAGTGTTTGACTGAGCGTTTCAAATCTGACTATGCGATATTTCGTCACTATTATTCTGAGTTTGATATTCAGTAACGCGCATAACTGGACCCTTGTTTGTTTAAGTTGACTATGGCTAGAATAGTTTCCCCCTGAACCACTGACCAATGAATCTGATCATACAGTAACATATTCAATTATGATAATAAATGACACTCGCAGCTGGAAAAACCTCACTGTTTCCGTATGTGGGCATTTGACATAAATGAATTACAATTGGCTAATTAATTGTTTTCAGCAAGTGTCCGGAAAAGGGTCAAATCGTTTTCAAGCGTAAAATGGACGGAAAGACGATGAGCCTCATCAACAAAACATAGCACCAAGTGGAGAAAGTCGTGGACGTTTAACACAGAGCCGATGGAGTGTTCAAAGACCACGGACTGATTGAATTACAATTGGTTAATTGATGATAGCCCATCAAGTGTCAGAAAAAGGTCAATTTGTTTAAGTGTAAATATGGACGGGAAAACGATGAACCTCATCAACAAAACAAAGCACCCAGTGGAGAAAGTCGTGGATGTTTAACACCGAGTTGATGGAGTGTTCGCAGACCAAGGATTGATTATATTGCAATTGGTTTATTGATACGTGTCCAACAAGTGTCGGAAAATGTCAAAATGTTCAAATGGACATAAAAATGGACGGAACAACCATGAACCACCTCAACAAAACAAAGCACCCAGTGGAGAAAGAAATCACACAAAGAATCAAACAAACAACACTCACTTACTCGGCTGGGGCCCAACACAACCCACTATTTAAACTCGTTACACACAAATAAAACAACATAAAGAAATCAACACTTAAAAAATTCAAACTCAACCCAAGAGCTTCATGCATCACCCACCTCTACAAACTGCTACACTCACAACAACTAAACGACATACAACGTACACCTCCCATTACAAGCTACATTCACGACAAACCCCAACCCATCACAGACACTAACCTAGATAACATCCTCCATCAGCTACCAAAAGACACCAACAAATCCACTATAACAAACATCACAAACAACTACATCAACAACAGCTACCCCACCCACACTCATATATACACAGATGCTTCAATCAACCAAAACAAAACCACTGGTATAGGCATTCATGTCCAACAAACAGCAGCCAAACTAGCAACAACCCACACATCACCAACATCCAAGCAACTCATCAAATCAAACATACTACATACCAACTTCCAACACAACATCAACACAAACAAATCAAAATGGGTCACATCAATAATAAAATCACCATTAAGGAAATCCCTGTATATATAACGTTAAAAACATTGACACGGCCATAAACAGACTCATCACAGGCATCACGAACCTAAACCACACACTTTATAAACAAAATAGACATACAGATGGCTTATGTACACACTGCAATACTCAAGAGGACATAAACCACATACTCATTTACTGCCAACTACAAGCAAATATCAAGCAACTACACAACAGCATTCCCCCTAAACATCACAACAATACCCCACTACTCCTAAATCCACACACCCCATCCCCACCCCCCATCATTTTCAACGCCATGGCAGCTTACCTTCAAAACTCAAACTTATTACAAGGGATCTAGAACCTGTCATATAAACTACATACACCTCTCTCACCTTCAACCTACTGTAACATTTAGACCAGGCGTTCAACCCTCAGTTATCCATTCTATGTCCCAAGTATAACCAATAAGCCCACACTTTCAGACCCGCCGCTCAAACTCAATTATCCATATTCTGTACACGCCACGCTAGCTCTCCCCTCTCGCTAGTGTAAACAACCTGTCGCAAGCCCTCATTGACAAGGTCAAGGCCATTCAACACGGCCACTCACTGCCAGCGCTCGCCTCTCAGCTTCGGCCCCTTCTGCGCTCCCCCCTCGCCCCTCCCCACATCCACCCCAGCTTAACCCCTTTTCCTTCTTTATACAGTCCCATTATTAAATCAATGCAGCTTAACTGCATCTACAATCTATGCCCCACTATGCTAAACGTGTTTATAACTTACCCCTACCCCCCACACACACACACTCACATCCTAGGCCCCCCTTTACACTACCTATCGTTTAATTTAATCCTATCTCTTGCCTATTAACAATCATTACCCCTTTTTATTTCCCCTTTCCCTTCATAAACTCGGCTTTTACTATTTTATTTCGTTTATCTTTTTTTAAACGTTTTTATTCAAAATTCCACTTAGGTTAACGCCCGCGCATTTACATTTTTTTGGGTACGATGGTTTATTCCTTATTATAAACTTATTAATTATTATCCCACCTACCCCATCGGCTACAGTCAGAAGCCGACGTTGAACCTCAAACCATCATCATCAGAAAGATATGGACTTTAAACACAGAGCCGATGGAGTCTTCATAAACCAAGGATCTGAACGTGGATTTGAACGTTTGATGAGCTTATACAGGCACAGCTAGGGGAGACAAGTCAGTGGACGGAATTAAGGCACCTGCAACTCCTGGTTAAGATGTATGCCCCACCCTTCTATGACAGAGAAGAGACATCATATAGTGAATCATAGTTCTAACCGTTGATGTATCTGGATGAATGTGGTTGGGGCCCAAGGCCACCGTCATATCCCAGTAGTCTATATACACAACTCTGTGGGCAATAGATGAAAACTCCTCATGCAATATATCTGTATATAGCAGTCCCCAGTACGATACAAGTTCCTGAGCCGGATTCCTGTAATAAGCAAAGGGTCCTCGAACTGCAAGTGTGACATCAGGTGCTCGCTCAAGGAGAGACGTAGCTGCCCGAACCAGTCGCTGAACATGTTGGCGGTATATGTCCGGGTGGACTAAATTAAAGTGGACATATAAATACAGCACCACAATATCCACTGTGTTATTTGGCAGAGATTCAAGAAGAATATGCTGTGCCCTGTTAGCTAGTGGAGAGTAACGTTCCTGTCCGTGAAACAGTGGGAACTCATGAGCAAACCATGCCACTGAGAAATTGTCTTGCTTGTCCTCCAAGAGCTGAGGGTTGAGACCTTTAAGGGCGCATTGTAAGTTGAGTATGTCGTGAAGGGCCTCCTTGAATTGACGACTGGTTGAGTCCCCGGGAATCCAAAGTCGTCGGTTCCTTAAACACTGTCGATATGCCCAGGCTGTAGATTCCAGGGTGTCCAAACACTGCGTGGGTTTCCACTTAGTTCTGTAAATAACTCCAACAGGATGCTTGCGTTGCCAGGTATACTTTGGCAAAAGTTGACTGCAGGGCGTTTTAAGTGTGTCGACCGTCTTTTCTCCTGTTTCTGAAAGATGGACAAAATATTATGCTCCGGTACTTTGTGTTTTATTTTTCTTTTCAACGTCACATTCACTAGCTCACTAGGTTGACACATGTTATCGTAGCCCAGTTCGGTAGATCAATGCCCCTGATGTTGATCACTGGATTGTCTTATCCAGAATATGGCTGAGTGCCTCGTTGAACAATAAATAAATAAATAAATAAATAAATAAATAAATAAATAAATAAATAAATAAATAAATAAATAAATAAATAAATAAATAAATAAATAAATAAATAAATAAATAAATAAATAAATAAATAAATAAATAAATAAATAAATAAATAAATAAATAAATAAATAAATAATCTCTTCAGTACTAGAACATATCATACCTTGCCTTTTTATGCATCATTGATACGTGCTTACCCAATACACCTGTTATGTTGAAGGAGGACAGAAGGAAATCATTGTCTGGTTCTGATGATCTGAAACATGCACGTTTCCCTCTGTTACTTGTAGTGTTGGTTGGTGCAACTGAGGTTCCGCTTGTTGATGATATCATTGTAAGGCCAAGGCATTTCTGTTTTCTTGTTAATAAATCCACAAACATAGAGATAGAAAACATTGTTGAAAAATGCAGTAAGAACAATTTCTAAGGAGAACTATGTATATTTTTGGGTTGTTGTTTTCTGTTTGGTTTTTTTTTCTATGTGTGTGTGTGTGTGTGTGCGTGTGTGTATATGGGCCTGAGCTACATGGTTTCGCTTATTTAATTTTCAAAACTAAAGTCATTTCAAAGTATCATCGTCAGTGAAAACAAAAACTAAAAAATTACATTTAACACAATTTCGACACATCTAAATGAACACTTACTTTATTGAATGTTCTGAAAATATCTGAACATAAACATATCAAGGTTGAAAGTAACATTAATTGGTCTTTAATATTTAAACCATGCATGCACGTGTATTTTGTGCGTTTGATGTATATATGTCACGCATGGGTTTCCTTAAAAAAACTAGAAAACTAAGGAATGATAATTAGACCTTAAAAACATAACATGCTTTCAATAATGTCACAAGATTGCTTATATTCTACAAGGGTCGATCTCTTAATTGATAACAATCTGGTTCATACTAATACTGACCAGCAATAGAAACGCAACACAGAATTCAGGAAAATTATACTTTTCAGCGTGAGTGTGGATTTGATCGATGGAATAAATAGTTTGATTTCTTGAACTGCATTTCTTTTGCTGGTCAGTATAAGAACAAAATACTATAAAATGAATAAAACCATACTTACAAATAGTAAATGCCACGTTGCTGTGTTTCCTTCGGGAGATATGCTACATTCAGGGACCAGGACTTACTGTAGGTGTCGCAGCTTAAGAGTGGATGCTTCGGCTTTTCACAGTACCACAGGAAACCGTCATTTAGAGAAGTAAAGTTGCAGATGTCTCTTAGGCTGTTTCGTAACATGCTGCAGCTCGTACTCTCTTTTACCAAGAAGCCCCATACGAACTCCCGTTTCAACTGCCACAGCGTTCCATGTTCAGCCATGATGGAATAGAACATCGCTAGTTCCTCCCTACGACGCTCAAGAAAGCAGCGAATCCTTCCAGCACCCGACCACTGGACTCTGAGAACACCATTGTATGTGCCATTGTTGTTGTCGAAGACGTCTCCAGCAACTGCAGCTTTGTCCTCTGTGTTTTCCATCCATAATCTAAAGAAATCGCCACCAACTGTTTGCTTCTCGCCGTAATGATTGTAAGTGTTGATCTCCACTTTTATGACATCACCGAGTCTATACAGTGGCTGGGGATTTAATAACGTCATTGTGGAGCGGTGTGCACTTGTGCACTTCCGGGTATCCCTTTGCTTACCTCCCTTGATCATGTTTGCCTCACTTAGATAGCGAGGAACATTGCTTACCACTCTTCCGCTATTGGGTTCTACAACTATATGCATCTCAATGGTGTCACTGAGAGGTACGTTTCTGCAATAACAAAAATGATTAATGAGGTATGAATTTTTATCAATAAGGTTGGAAAAAAAAAATTCATGACGGCCCCACCCCCTCCGATTATCTTCTATTACTTTACAAATGTTGTTTGGAAACACCTCTTTGAATAGATTTGCACCCGTCAGTCCGATCTTTGTCTGAAGGCCCATACTCTCAAGGCCCAACTATTCATCATTTTTACGTGAAATATGCTTGGCTCGTGGTATAACGAGGTAGATGATAATTAAATTTTCTTTATCCTACCAACAACCAACCAAAAAACAACCAAAAGATAATGAACCAAGCAACCAACTGACATATCAATAGTTTAATCGATCAGTCGTTCAAGTGTCCAACCAACGAATTATATGATGAAATCCACCACATCCAATCAAATAAATAAATAAGTTCTAACAAACAAATAATAAATTAACCAAAATCGATAATGCATGTGCAATAAACAAATCAGTAAGTCAATCCGCCAATCTTGAACCATACATCAGAGTAATAGAGGGCAAATATTTCGCCTCCTATGCTTGGAAGTATTTGATTAAGATCTGGCGTACCTGGGTCAAAGATTGTCCGCTGTAAGGATCAGTAGTAAGACGCTCAATGTTGAGCAAACAAAAGAAAAAGAAACTATGGATCTTGTTATTCCCGAAGTGTCTTGTGCAACACTTTACACCTACTCTAACGAAATCTGCACCATTTGTAATTTTATGTGTCCCCGCATAAAAAAGATACCTTTTAACAGATTTCGCCTGTTCATTTCATGTTTATATTAGGCGATAGGCTTGGTAGGTACACGAGACATAGAAATTGTTAATGATCTGTTCTTTAAATGTGTGACTCAGGGTAAAATGTTAGTCAAAATCACCAAAATGTGCATGTGACGGTCTCCAATAATAGCATAACATTTTGAGTGAGTATTTCAAAGCAAATATTCATCCAATGTGAACAAAACAAATTACTTTTTCGACATAAGGTATTGCACCTTTTATACATTTTATACATAGGCTAGGCGGGCGGTACATTTAGCGGAATATTTTGGGGATGTGTTTGTCAGAGTTTCCTTCCAGCTGGGATCTCCAGCTTACAGTAACTTGGTGTACATGGATAACATTGTTCTCGTCGCTTTGGCTAAACTAATACAGATGCTACGATGAAGATTAGCAAACTCCGTGTTTGTTTATATAGTAATTACCTGTAGTTGTCCTCAAGTTTCTGTTTGTTATTCCATATATATATCACAGTAACAGTCACGGTCAATATGCACAGGATAACAAACGTAGATCTAGTCCGACTCATTTGTGAAGCTGAATTGTATCCGACGTTCACCACTGACATGTTGGCTTTGGCGATGAACACTCGTCCACTGCTATCGAAATCTGAGCTGTAATTCTCGGAATTCAGGCTTGGGTAACAGGAAATGAATGGGTAAATACATGTCCACTAAGGCCCGCTTGCTTATCGTTATTGGGTTAAGCTAACAGTGTTGCATGGTAACCAAAGTAAACAATATGGATTTCTGCGGAAGGGACGTTGGGGAGTAGGTGTGGGGTTGGGTCAAGCTACGGATCACGGTCAGAATATATATAATACGAATTAGGATAAGGCTAGCTGGGTTAGTTCAGTGTAGATGAGTGAGTGAGTGAGCTAAAATTTGCCGTCACACCGGCAATATTTCAGCCATATCGTGACGAGAACAATATATTTTATTCATAGTAAGTAATGGTTAACTGTAAAAACCTGTCACCGAAGGACAGTAAAATAACTAGATTATCACAGATTCGAATTTAAAACTAGTAATTAAATGTAAAAAGACAACTATAGGGGACAGCACAATATAAAAATAGGCTATAGATCGCCAACAACTGAAGGTAAATCACCATACTAGGGACCATGGGGACTTACAGTACCTTTGCTACCTGCATGGACCCTAGTTGGATTTACACCCTCCCTTCAGCCATTGGTGATGGAAGAGAAATCTAGCAATAAATTAAAAGCACACATATTCTACGATTAAAAAGGTGGCAAGTTTAAATGTACTTTAAATGTGTTGGGACTTACGTACCCTCTCAGGAGGACAATAATTTTACGCTACTTCAACCCCCTTTGAGGGTACCGCTACTAACAATCTCAGTTACTAATCTAAACTACCAACAATAAAATATTTAGTTATTTACAGATCTGTCAACAAATCTAATTCTTTTAAGAAATCAACTGTTAAATGATAATTAACATTATAAAAAAGATCCTTCAATGTTTTGACATTGAAATACTTATCCCTTGTGATGGAATATTCAACACAGTCAAGCAGGACATGCTTGACTGTGATTCAGTTCAGTGTAGATAGGTTGGATAAGCGTTCACGTAGGCGTCCGGGGTTAGGGGATAAGTTGGTCGAATGATTGTTTTGGGGTACAGATGTGGGTACAGTGGCAGTCGGGATCGTGATGGGAGAGGGGCGAGGTTCATCGGAAGGTGTAGTCTTTGGGATGTGTCTCACAGGACTCCTACCGCACTATTGTCTCTTCCGCCTTGCCTTTTCTAAAATGAATCAAATTAGATTTTTTCCTCAGGTTCTAAATCACCCATCACATTGGGGCTTCTATTCAAATTAAATGGAATCCTATCTCCCTAAATGAAACCCTATTTCTGTCAAATATACATGTATGTATATTTATATATATATATATATATATACACACGCACACACTAGCACACACACACACACACATATATATATACACATACATACACACACACATATATATATACATATATAGACACACGTATGTATGTATGTATGTATGTATGTATGTATGTATGTATGTATGTATGTATGTATGTATGTATGTATGTATGTATGTATGTATGTATGTATGTATGTATGTATGTATGTATGTATGTATGTATGTATGTATGCACACGCGTTTCAACTTTATCTTCAGGAAGACGTATATGAAGGAAATTCTGTGTAGTACAGTAGAACATATGTAAATATGTCCACTGAATAACGGCACAACACGAATTTCGTTCCTACGCGTTTCAACTTCAGGATGAATAAAGTTCGTGTTGGGTTAGAAATGGTTGCTGTTACGCGACTGAGGGGATTGAGGGGAATGTGTGTGCGGTAAAGCTCAGAGGTGAGACACTTACTGTTAAACAAATAGAAAGCAACGAGGAGGACCGACCTGCTTATCTATCCTCGAAGTGTCTTTTGCACTACGTTAACCATGTGCGTCGGGGGACCAGAAGTGGTAAACAGATTACATGGCTACAAACACTGACACTAGTCAATTAAACTATTAGAGGGAGAGAGATGGGAGAGAGAGAGAGAGAGAGAGAGAGAGAGAGAGAAAGAGAGAGAGAGAGATAGAGGGAGAGAGATGGGGGCTTACTGCAAGATAAACTTACTCGACGCTGCGACTATTTTCATTGGTTGTATTTAGAATAAACTTGCATCACACAGCGTCATTCAACAGATAACCTCATTCTCATCTTAACTCTTAACGGTTATCTTGGTTAGTTGGTTGTTTAACGCCGCACCCAACATTCTTACAGCTGTATGGGGTATAACTATAGGCATGTTGTGGCATATGTATTCGTGAGGCGTGATATGTGTATGAACAATCATGTTGTCACCGAAAAATGACAACGTTTCTGCATACCTCTAATACTGTTTCATGGATTCTTACCCATATAAATACATTAGATTTTGATACTGTGGAAATGTGTGTCTTTGTTTCGTGTACCCCTAACTCAGCTATATGGCGACGGTCTGTAAATGATCGACTCTGGACCAGACAACCCATTGATCAACACCATGAGCCTCGATCTACGCAATTGGGATACGATGACAACCAAGTCAGCGATCCTGACCACCCGATCCCAATGGGGTGCGCAGATTTGACAGCTTGACTCCTGGGAGGTGTTTAGGACTTCTGTCCTACCCCACAACGACTCATACGTGACACATGTCTCACCTTTGTTGACTTGTTCAAACTTCCTCTGTGTACCCAACATCTGTATACCCAGTAGAAAATGGGTACCCGGTGGGATGCGTTATATGACTATAAACCTTGAAGGCAGCTTGGCACTCCGGGTTAAGGAGGCCTATCATGTTACAGGTTGCACAACACCAAATGTTTTCTCATAGACTTCTATAGTAACCTTATAAAAAAAAAAAAAATTATCCAGGCTATCAACAGTAATTCCATGTACACATGGGTACAGTCTGACCTTTAAAATACAATAAAACACAATCTCAGGCCAAATTGTCCGGCTCATTTTCCCAGCACAGGAAGCGGAACGGGATGGCCTAAAAGTCGGGCCAAGAAAAAATCGGGCCGGGCCGGACCACCGGGTAATACTAAAAATGGATTGCAGAATATTAAAACGAAACTTGCACATTTGAGTCGATACACTTCCTGCCTTCACAAATGCATAGTTTGATTGAAAATGTATAGTTAATGGTGAAAAACCCACACAACAACAAAGTCTACATACCGAGATTCCCGTAGAAAAGACACCGTCTTGTTGTTATGCTTTTTCCTTGATATGGGGGAAGGTTGCTTACTTCTCTTAGCGTGTGACATACGGGGGTCCTGGGCAGGAAGTGACAGTGTTTTGACTGCTTTTCTTTCCTTAATTAAGATATTAGGGTTATCTAATTAACCTTTATTGTCTCAGGCTGAATCAGCACAGGATGTTTATGTTAAAGAGACGTGGATATCAGCAAGTGTCAATGGGCAAATATGACATGATAACGTATATTAAAAGAAATATTTGAAATCACAAACTTTTCTAATATGTTATAAAGGATCAAACGAAGTATGCATTCACAAACACAAAAATTATTATGTGTTTTCATTGTAAATAATACCAGCCCAAATCAGATCGCCATCTCGTATGCATATGCTTATATTTACGAACACAAAATGGTATTATATCTACCTAAATACCACTTCATAAAGTAAAGTAAAAGTGAAGCTCTTTTCTCTCTCCATTCCCAACGATTTAGGAAAATAAAGTCCTCGGAAAACAAAATCTGCAATAGAAATTGTTTACTCTCTATTCAGCCCTGCTTGGCCCGTGCTGTCAAAAACAACTTAAACCTCACAGATGTATCTTGAAATGTGTTTAAATCCATAGATTAATATTATATCTACCTACAAACGTCTTTACAGAGTCTCAAAGCGTAGTATTTGAAGCAAACACCTTGCTCAAAGTGAAGCCCTAATTTCTATACATTCTCAACAACCACATAGTATAACATGCTTTCGGTCCGGCTTGGCCCGGGCTCTCAAAAAAACACCTTAAACCTCACACATGTGTCCTGATTTGTGTTTAATTCCATAGACTGGTATTATATCTACCTAAATATCACTGTGTGACGTTACAAAATGCCACATGTAAAGAAACCTGCTCCGTTAAAGTGAAGCCCTTTTCTCTCTCCATTCAAAACATAGCCTCAATCAAAAGTGTTTAGTCGCTGTTCAGCCCGACTTGGCCCGTGCTGTCAAAAACAAACTAAACCTCACACATGTATCTTGAAATGTGTTTATATCCATAGATTAGTGTTGTATCTACCTACAAACGTCTTTATAGAGTCTCAAAGCGTAGTATTTGAAGCAAACACCTTGCTCAAAGTGAAGCCCTAATTTCTATACATTCTCAACAACCACATAGTAGAACATGCTTTCAGTCCGGTTTGGCCCGGGCTCTCAAAAAAACACCTTAAACCTCACACATGTGTCCTGATTTGTGTTTAATTCCATAGATTGGTATTATATCTACCTAAATATCTCTGTGTGACGTTACAAAATGCCACATGTAAAGAAACCTGCTCCGTTAAAGTGAAGCCCTTTTCTCTCTCCATTCAAAACAGCCTCAATCAAAAGTGCTGTCAAAAACAAACTAAACCTCACACATGTATCTTGAAATAATAATCTATGGCTTTAAGCACATTTCAAGATACATGTGTGAGGTTTAATGTGTTTTTGACAGCACGGGCCAAGTCGGGCTGAACAGAGACTAAACACTTTTGATTGAGGCTATGTTTAGAATGAAGAGAGAAAAGGGCTAACTTTAACGAACCAGTTATCTTTACATGTTTTATTTGATAACATTACAAAGTGATATTTAGGTAGATATAATACTAATCTATGGATTTAAAGACATTTCAAGATACATGTGTGAGGTATAAGGTGCGTTTGAGCGCCCGGGCCAAGCCGGACCGAAAGCTTGTGATACTGTGTCTTTGTTGAGAATATATAGAAAAGATAGCTTAACTTTCAGAAACGTTTTTGCTTCAAATACTACGCTTTGGGCCTCTGTGAAGTAATATGTAGGTAGATATAAAACTAATCTATGGATATAAACACATTTCAAGATACATGTGTGAGGTTTAAGTCGTTTTGACAGCACGGGACAAGCCGGGCTGAACAGAGACTAAACACTTTTGATTGAGGCTATGTTGAGAATGGAGAGAGAAAAGGGCTAACTTTAACGAACCAGTTATCTTTACATGTTTTATTTGATAACATTACAAAGTGATATTTAGGTAGATATAATACTAATCTAAGGATTTAAAGACATTTCAAGATACATGTGTGAGGTATAAGGTGCGTTTGAGAGCCAGGGCCAAGCCGGACCGAAAGCTTGTGATACTGTGTCTGTGTTGAGAATGTATATAAATTAGGGCTTCACTTTGAGCAAGGTGCTTGCTTCAAATACTACGCTTTGAGACTCAGTGAAGAGATATTTAGGTAGATATAATACTGATGTATGGATTTAAACACATTTCAAGATACATCTGTGAGGTATAAGGTGCGTGTGAGAGCCCTGGCCAAGCCGGACCGAAAGCTTGTGATACTGTGTCTGTGTTGAGAATGTATAGAAATTAGGGCTTCACTTTGAGCAAGGTGTTTGCTTCAGATACTACGCTTTGAGACTCTATAAAGACGTACTTAGGTAGATATAACTCTATTCTAGAGATATAGACAGAAATCAGGATGCATGTGTGCGGTTTAAGGTGTTTTTGACAGCACGGGCCAAGTCGGGCTGAACAGAGACTAAACACTTTTGATTGAGGCTATGTTGAAAAATGAGAGACAAGGGCTTCACTTTAACGGAACCGTTTTCTTTACATGTGGCATTTTATAACATTACAAAGCGATATTTAGTAGATATAATACCATTCTATGGATTTAAACACAATTCAAGATACGTGTGTTACGTTTAAGTTGCTTTTGACGGCTCGAGTCAAGCCGGACCGAAAAATTGTGGCCGAGATAATGTTGAGAGTGTGGGGAAGAGATCGTATCATATAAAGGTGGGCATGCTTTAAATACGATGAATAATGAATTGATCGGGTGGTATGTGATTGGATATAGATGTAATAAACCGATGGAAATGCGTATCGGAATTGACTGAAGTATTTATACGTTTTAAATCCTGTTTCGTTTAACGATTCCACTTTTAGACGTAACCTCGGTCAGCCAGTGCACATGCTTCTCGTCTTCCTGAGTTTTAGCCGATTTCCTCGAAATAAAGTTATTATGGTACGCGTTTGTGGCTTCTGATTGATCATTATTACCATGCGTTTATGTTGCATTAATTAATTGTAGGCATTGTGATCGTTAATGGGTTTATTAGCCAATTATATATTTGGTCCGCCTTGGCCCGGCCCGGCCCGGCCCGACTTTTAGGCCATCCCAACAGGGAGTTGTTATCACGTAAGTGGTATGTTTCGTTGAGTACATGTATCCCCATACTGTTTACTGCAGTATAAGTGAGATCTGCTTCACTTTGCGAATGATCAATCTTTTGAAGTTGATTTAAGTTCTACTTGAGTAAACTGCTACCTAACAGATCGATCTCAGATTAAAACGTCTCATCCCAAATTCGTATTTTATATTTCAGGTACTAAGAAATACTGAATTTTTACGTATTAGATATACATCCATCGGTACCAGTTTGACGTGTCTGGTCATGAGTTAACTAACATAGTGATTATATATTTTTGACCATTACATGTGTCATTCACACGTCATTTATGCCATGATAATGTTCTCTAATCCATTTCATCATACAGCATTAATTCATTCAATGTTTTGAAGCTCATATGAAACATGAGAAATGTTACTGTTCCAGTTCCTTTTGAAGAGTGAACTTATTTTTGTTCCTCAAGTGTTCCGACCAATATATTCATTATGGTTACAAACGACCTGGGTCCCGTTCCACTAACCGATCTTAACCCTATGCCAATCGTAAACCCCTAAAATCTCAATCTTAGCGTTACGTTACGATCGGCATACCGTTCCACTAACCAATCTTACCTACGTCAATCGTAAAGTTAAGATTCAAAGTCTAAGTTGCTCATGACCAACTTAGAATAGCTAAAATCAATCGTAGAGAAACCAAAATGGTGGTTTTCCTATTCTATGTGAAAAATAAGAGCGAGCATTTCACCGTGAGCGTCCCCTAAAGTTCCCCATGAAATGAATTTGTATATTTCTGCGATGTAAACAAACACTGCACTGAAGCTTTACAAATGTCAGGCCAGTCTGACCACTGTCGTCATGGGAACACAACCGAGCGAGTCGGTGTAACACATTTGTACAACAATATTGCAACGTCATTGTTAAGAATAGGGACAGCCTTGAAGTGAACAATGTTCTGAAGCAAAAAGATACAAATATGCTTGATTTCACTGCGCATATTTGGTGGGGAATTCTTAAGGCAGACCGCGTGTTATTCAAGACCACTGACAGATTCTACATACGCTATAGCCTCGTCACGCCTTGTTTATTCTGATTGACAAGGTTCAGGCACATATTAAAAGCTCTGACACAATTGACATTTTTAAAGTCCAGACTTAAAACCTGTTCTCAGTATATTACTTATAATCTCCGCTGTAAATATTCTCCTGTTAAGTATCTCTACACAGGGCTTTGAGCATGCCCAAGGATGTGGAACAGGCGCACTATAATTATGCATTTTTTATTATTATATTATGCTTGATACCCATCGTTCTCCATCTCTCGCACGAAAGAGTCTCGATCTAAGCTTGGATCGGATCGTAAGATCGGGACCGGCTACGATCGGCCTAAGATTGGTTAGTGGAACGGGTGTAACTTTTAGCTAAGACGATTGTAAAATTGGCGTAGCTTGCTAAGATTGATCTTAGATAAGATTGGTAAGTGGAACGGCACCCTGATTTTAATACCTATCAAGTTAGATGTTATACACGCGTGCATGCACACACACACACACAAAACATCCCTAATTTGTGAATTATGTTCGGACGATAAAGAAATATCTAATTTGGTCAGAATCAGTATATAAATTATCTTCCATTACTATGAGAGAAGCATGGCATTATTCGTTCATTTTTTTGATAATTTTATCTGCATAAAAGAAGGTATTATCAAAAATGTGAAACAAACTTTCGTATACTACCATATCACTAACATTGCGATATTGACCATGGAATAATGTTAAGCTTAGTCTGTTTTCAATGTCATAATATGTGAGGTTCCTCATTCACACAAGCATACAAACTGACAGCATAACACAAAACAATATGCAACCAACCCAATGTAATACAATACAAGTTTCACCGCCTGTGCATACCACACTGTCGACGAATCTCTCAGGCGTGTTAGAGCGATAATCACATCGCGACATGATTAACAAGCCTACAGCTCAGCAGATTTTAATAACTTACATTTTTAATAAGAAAAGCAAGATTCATAGATGTCAACTTCTTTATTGTGAATAACACGAAGTTTCGGAGCATATGCTTGCTCCTTCATCAGGTGAAAATCAGGTCACAGTAATGCATTCCACTTCTTAATGCCCATCAAGGATTGAACTCACTTCCAGGGGCTTCTTTAACAGGCATAAAAACTTGTTAATTAACAAGGCAGTAGGCCTTGTTAATTGGTGACTATTAACTGCCTTGATTCACTCATCAATCAACAAGGGATTAGGTCCCGGGGCGTGCAAAAAACAATAATTTACCATCACCCACCAGTTATCTCCCCTTCTGGACATTTCCAAAATTGGAAATGTCTTGGAAACATCATCTTTCCAATATTGGAAATGTCTTGGAAACATCATCTTTCCAAAATTGGAAATGTCTTGGAAACATCATCTTTCCAAGACATTTCCAAGCTTGTAAACATGGACTTATTTTCCAGTGCAATTACTCCATCTGTTGGCTCATATCTACTAACACCTATGTAAAACAGTCCCGGTTCTGAACAGCTTTTATACACGAGTGATTCTGAAGACACCCACACAGCTGCCCCATGTGTGATAGCCGGAAGCACGATACTGTCAAATAATTTATGAAATACTTTAAAATCCTTATCACCAAGAAGTTTACGGTCATTCAGCTCTCACTAGCCCTACAGCTCTCTTGAAACTGTGTTGCAAGTCGAAACGCATTGGTGGATCCAGTGGGAGGGTGGGGGTGGTTTCAAGGGTGGTGTGGTGGTGGTGGTGGGAGGGGGGGGCTTGGTTCGACTCCCCCTTTGAAACTTCCTGGATGCGCCTATGCAACGTGAGAGCCTATTGTTCATGTACCGCGCATGTGACCAGAACGTGATTCTTCAAGGTCGAGCATTGTTATATTCATTATGCATCACTTATGTCATATGTATTGACGCCAAATATAGCCATGCAGTTGGCGTGCTGATAAACACGTTTACCATGTCCATATATGGTCGCTGTGAAAAATACATTGACAATAAAAGTTGTGTCTGAAAGTTGTATCCCGGGTATGTTGTTTTTCATTAGTCCTTAATCTGCTTGTTTCTTGGAAAAGCTAGCCTATAAAGAGACAGGCATACTGTCTGGTCGCCAGAGACCTGTGAGCAGCGGCGTTAAACCAGACCTTCAAAACAGGTACAGTAATGGTGTAAACATTTAGATGTCTGTGTAATCCTTGCGAACCTGCATGATAATTTGGACTATAAATGTAAGGATTGTGGTCATTCGCTTTACATGCCACGATCCCGGTTCGATACACAACCTGGGTACGATATGAAAAGCCGGTTTCTGGTGCCACCCGTCGTGATAGTGCTAGAATCCGTTGGTATATGACCAGATGGTGGTCACGTGAATACTTGCAAACACTTAGTTGCGAGTACAACAACGTGCAGTGAACTTGGGCAAACTGCTGTAACTATGTGTCCCAGTCCATCCAGCTGTGAATGGGTACCTCGTTAGGATGAGAAAGCCACAATAACGCGGTGGGTCTAGTGGCTGCAAGAGTTGTATACCCCCCAGGGAGCTGAGAATGATAATACGATGTGCCGTTGAGATTGACATCCAATGATTGAGGGGAAAAATATCAGCGCCTTGAGCATGCACTATAGTGCGTTTGGCTCAAAAGCGGACCGATGAATTGCAATCTAACTCGAAAACTAATATATATGTAATACTCAATGAAAGGCTGATCATAATCAAAACATCAGACCAACTCTGTGATTTGTGTGCAGAATTTATGTCCTAAAATTAAAAAAGTTGTTTAACAAACTATCACTAAAATATTGACACAGTTCACTATTTTGCACGAGGGAGGAGTGCAGAGAAATGGACAGCCAGGTGTGCGAGAAAGGATGGAGACGGCACAGCACAGATTAATGAATCATTAACTTTGTCGGCACTTGTGCACGTGCTTCTCTAACACCTGGCTGTGCCTTTCTCTACACTCCTCCCTCGTAGAAAATAGTGAACTGTGTCAATCTTTTAATGATAGTTTGTTAAACAACTTTTATAATTTTAGGACATAAAGGATGAGCCTTACCACCCTGACTGTGCCAGGATCACCCGAACCCTCTCTGCTGCATACTATCTTTAATCTGTAAAACATAACAATAATAATAATAATATCGCTATAGGCTGCATAAGACCATACGCACTCATTTGGACTAAACATTGTGTTTCTCGCCTTGTTACACAGCTCCTGATAACATCAGCTAATTTATGCTGATTCCATTGTATTTTCAGTTTTACGGCACCGTTCTACATATACCGATTTAACTAAGTCATGTAGCAAGAAATGAAGACTAAAGATAAGCAGATAGCCTTGAGTTAATCTTAAAGTATATGGGTCATCATTATGAAGAAATTATTAAACGTCATGGCTGTTTATTCTAATGAGTAATTTTAAAATGATGGCTTATCGGTTGTTTCCCTTTCTCTTGTTATATTACATTCATAACTTCTAAGATACGTGTATGTGTTTGTTACATTTTAGACTCATTGTTGGAACCAAGGATGGCAAACAGACCAGGCGGTGGGTACATTTAAGTACATGTTAGTGGAGATATTGTAAACAAAATATCAAACTATTTGGACTCTATTAGAAATTTCAGAAACCTTGTAAGAGCTTCTCCGAGGGCATTTTATTTTTCATTAGCCCTACATCTGCTTCATTCTTGGAAAAGCTAACTTACAAAGAGATGGTGTAAGCATCAACGTCAAACCATAGCTTAGAAACAGATACAGTAATGAAGGAGACTTTTGCTTGCCTGTATATGTTTGTCCATACCCGTTTGAGATATTTGGACTATGGATCTGTCATTTATGTATCTTTTACTGGCGGTATTTTTAAAAAGTAATATTACGCCATTTTGACGCCACTGGTACCTGTAGGAACATTGTCAGAACTTGTTAACACATAAAAATGCAAACAAAACAAACATTTGTTGTCATGTAAGTGTCGATGTCAGTGGATCAAACCCTTGAATATTCCAGTGAGTGTCAGACCCCTTGGTGGTTCAAGATACTCAGTTATCTACGAGATAGGTGCAGCTAATCAGGAACCTACATCTGCAGAAGCAACTGTCAACAGGTAAGGATGATAATTCAATTCCTGAACAATGGCTTTCAGAAGTCTTCTTGAGCTTTTAAATCGTTGTTTGGGATAGTGATGTTACAAAATGAAGGGAAAGCATGTTTTATCTGACATCGAATATTTTCCCGAAAGATTATTTTTTTTGTGTTACTGCATAGCAATCTAAATATCGCCACGTACATGTATAAATAGAAGTGAACATGAACTACGAAACATTATAGATTTATCAATCGATTCCTATGTTCCAGCATGTTTAACTTCTAAGTCCCGATTTGTTCTCATTATTTTGTATCATGATAAAGACGTTAACCGATGGGATATAATGTTATTAAATGCCTCAGTTTCAGTGTATTGGAGTTCAGAGCTAAAGTTGGGTCCCGTGAATTTCATCATGTATCGCATGAAGAAGCAGCAAGAATAACGATTATAGAACAGGTATGTGCAACTAGTTGAGGGAAGAAAACTGGTACAATATTTTATGTTGTTTCCATCAATCCATGTTTGTATAATGCATTACAGTGATCAGCCATGTTAAATGTTGGTTTCATGTTTCAGAAAACCGTTCATGGGGACTACATGGTGACTGTGGAATGTCCGGTCGACCCTACTGACAAGTTCCAATGAATTTGAAATCTACTTGTTAGTCATTGGTCGATTATTGGAATCATGTGCACGCTGTAATCAATTGATTTTGCCTTTTACAACAACCACTAGGACTACCGAATATTTCCATGGATTACTTGTTAGTTAGTTGTGGATTACTAGAATACACTGTAATTTATTGATTTTACCTTTACCAATAGAAATAGAACTACCGAATATATCCAATGAGTTCATGGATTACTTGTTAATTGTTAGCGGATTACAAAAAAATGTTTACACGCTGTAACTGACGGATTGTGTCTTTCTAAATAAAAAGATCAATAGGACTACAGAATATTTCGTATGAGTTTAGGGATTAACTGTTGGTGGTTAAATTGTTAATTAAGAAATAGGACTAACCAATATGTTATGAGTCCATGGACAACTTAGTAATTCTTTGTGCATTACTAGAATAATGAGTACATTATGACGTTGGATTTTACTTTCTCAACAATCACTGGGACTAGTTTACATATTTATATCCTGTAAGTCGAGTTTGGAATATACCCTTTTAGACGTGGTGTTTGCCTTATTCGTCTATACTCCATTGTCTGAATGAAAAAGCATCCGACTAATGGCAATAACTTTTATTTTCAATTAGAAATTTAAAAAAAAATAAAAACGTGCACGTCGAAGGTGTCCTCCCATAAGAACTACATCCCATAAGAACTACAGCTTAAAATACATGTTATTATCCAATGCACAGATTAACTACATGCTGTTACCTGCGTCTGCTTAATGGATTTGCCCAACACAAAACAAATAAAACAGATATAACATGTTTGCTGCGGCAGTTCATTTTGGTTTTGATAGTAAATAGTTTGCCTTCATAAAATGTAAATTCTGTCAGTTATGATCGAACACGTTCCGCATCGAGGTGTTTGACATTTTGTTACACTGACTGATAAACCTTTTTTCATAGTATCACTTGTATACAAAATTTGAAGATTTGCTTTCATAATGGGCATAATTGTACAGTTATTAGGATTGTAGGTATATACAAACGGAAGAATGTCCATCTCTGTATTTGTTTCTTTTGTTTAAATGTCTCTCTTGGGACTTTTACTGCTTTATGAACAGCATTTTCAACTACCTAAGAAGATATGTTTTATGTATCTATTACATATTACGTATCACTATGATCCATGTAGAACTAGTTTAACCCAGCTTCAATAAGTAGCCAACTGCATCGATTTCATGGATAGCAGTCTATAACAATACTATTTTAACTTAAAAACTCATTCGTTTACATTTCACATTTACTCCGATATACCATTACCTTTATTCCAATATACTAAGCTTGGCTTGTTTTTTTCTTCAATCATGTAAATACAAGAACATTAACTAACTACAGCATACCCTTCTCTCTTGTCCTGTTCTTTCTGGTTATTAGATTACCAATACAAAAACATAATTATTGGTCAATAGGATTTTAAGCATGTAGTTCTTCTGGGAGAGCTGATGGGCTGTGCTCTTTACTTGCCGTGGGGGTGCCTCTACTCAGATATTTAATCCCTAATTAATCCCTGTAGTTAATTTGGGATGTAGTTCAAATGGGATGTAGTTCTTATGGGAGTAAACCACGTCAAATATTTCGTAATTTGGCAATCACTTTACACAGTGATTTATTAATGGTCAGTTAAAAGTCACAATAATTTCGAATGAAGATTGTATCAATATACTTGAAATTCTGATGATGTAGCATACCGGCCATGCTCGTGCTGACATATTAGATAGATATATTGACAAGTCTGTACAATTTGTTGCTGAGGCAGTGGACTCGCAGTGAAACCCATGTCGTAGATGGATATCCTATTTCAACATAAATGCATACTCCCATTTATACATTTAGCACAGTCTCTTTGTCAGTCCCACTCTCTAACAGTCCCAAGCAATATGTTTTGTACGAGCGAGGACGCGTTCTGTTCAATGTTTTTCCTGATTTTTAAAAATCTATTAATTTCTTTCTGATTTCTCGTATATTTGATTTATTACTGACACAGCTTCTGTTTGTAACCTAAAAATTAGATAATAAGGAAGTTCAAATTTCAATGATAAAGTTGGTTATTCATATGTATACGTGTGGCGCACCCATTATCCTGTATCACAAGAAATAAAATGATCAATGCAATGCCGAGTATTGTTTTCCATATGTCTCCATATTTATATGGTGAAATGCGTTATAAATAGGTATGGATAGGCATTGGCTGTACTGAATCAGTTCAGACGGTGGGGTACCCTTGTGGTCTGATCGTTGGCTCATCACGCTGAAGACCCGGGTTCGATTTCCCACATGGGTACAATGGGTGAAACCCATTTCTGGTGTCCGCCGCCGTGATATTGCTGGAATATTGCTTAAAGCAGCCTAAAACTATACTCACTCACTCACTGAATCAGTCCTGTTTACAAAATCATTGTATGGTTGACAATGGTACCATGAATGGTTGGAGGAAAAAATGTCAAATACCTTGAGTTGCAAAACTAGTAGTTCAGAAGACCCCCTGTTACTAATTTCAGGAGTCCTGTAAGGCAATGAAATAGTGTGGTGTACTGAAATTCTAAGATTTCATTATTACTTTAATCAAAGAAACGTTATTTTTCTTGTCAAGAATTAATATCATTATGCGTCTTGAGACCAAATGTACTCAAAAGCAAAAGTTATTGCTACATGGCATATTTGTAAATCTTGTGAATGTATTTTGGGATTTGAACCAGGGAAAGAGTGTGTTAAAATGGTTGAAGAATCGCCATACCCGACATGTGTAACACCCTGGCCGTATTCGAGAAACCAGACAGAAGTCACAAAGACCACCTCAAGTCATCGTTCCATATATTTCACGTCTCGGGGAAAACGCTGTCTACATGTTACAGTTAATATGTCAAATTAGTGGTTTTGTAAAATCACCGAAACATTCAGGGATTCTATAAAATTCCTAATTTACTCGGTTGTTTCACAAAATCGCTGAAAATCATGACAATTTGTTTACATATTCTCTGAAATGAATATGTCGCATTTTCAGTGGTTGTTTTGACAGTACTACTTGTAATAAGTAAACTTATAAAAAAAACTGAATTTTTCAGTGACTTTACAAAATTCCTGATTTGACACATTCACTGTAACATATATACTTTAGTCTACTCATCGCAGCGTGACGTTGCTCGTCGATTCAACGTCCACAGAAACACCATTTGCCACTTTAGCAAATATGTCAAGTTGTAGACCGCCCCTACAGTGTCCGCCACCAGTAACGACCCCGTGTCAAGGTCTTTCCAAGTAACAATACTTTATTCGCCGTGTAACACTAGATATAAAATCGACATATAATCCTTGTCGGACAAGGTATCCTCTCTTATGTCTGATTCACAGGAAAACTGTAGACTCAACGAGGCACTTACTGATCAACGGTGTTGGTCCATGAGGGACAATTTGATTTTACCAATATACCCGAGTCCCCTAACACCGACTCTCTGGAGGATTGTGAAATTGTCCTGAAAAAAATTATCGAAACTGAACTTTAATATGACAGTGCTAACCTTCACTTTAAAAGGGTTCACAGGATAGGTCCAAAGAGGCAGAGCACAGGACCAGGCGCCGAGAACAGACCCAGGCCAATCATCGCAAAGTTCATTTACACCAAAGAACGAGACGCAGTGAAAAGGTGTGGTAGGGAGCGCAGGGGTAAGCCGTATCACATCGTGGAGCAGTTCCCCAGGAAATCAATGCTTACAGGAAGGATGTTCTCCTACCGCGACTCAGGGAAGCCAACGCCCAGGGTAAGAAAACAGTGATTGTGATTGACAAATTATACGTGAACAATGCCCTCCAAGTTGTCCCCCTTCCCCGTACAGAGCGCCCCAGGAGCAAACCCGTGACAGAACCGGAGGGGGCACACAGTAGGGGTTCCCAGGTGGGCGAGAGCCTGTAGGACGTAGACACTGCGAGAGGCAGATATATCCTTGTGCCCATGTGAATGAATGCCCCGAAACTCGTGGGACTGATAATCACGGAAACCATCATAACAAACTTGTAAATAATCCTGAATACCAAAAACAAATGTAATATCAATTGCAATTCAGGTAACCACGAACTCTCTTTTGAATCTCCTGAATCACTTGATGAAAAATTTATCACCAAAGTATTTCACAACAATTTACAATTACCTATTTTTACACAACTTGATGTATGTGACAGCGAAGTAGTCCACTATAGACATACTAACACCATAGCACTATATGATGTTAATACAACATTTTCCTGCAAATCTTTACTTCATGTTATACATGTAACAAGTGCTGACAGCCCGGATACATTTGTTGAATCCCCTCCCCCTGAAAGTACTCCTGAAAATTTTAACAAATCAGATAAATTGTTACATGTATTAAGTCTAAATGTATGTGGACTACGAAACCGCTTACATTGTCCTGAATTTGTTGACATCCTAGAAGAAAATGACATAATAGGTTTACAAGAAGCCCAAACAAGCGAATTAGATGAGCTGGATATCTACAGCATAGATCAAGATGTGTGAACACATCAGGTGGATTAGGTTTACCTGTTAAAAATACTTACAAGGATTTTATTAGTGTTATGGCAAACAATGATGCATATTCTATGTGGTTCAAAATATCTAAAGATCTATTTGACATTAATAGTGATCATGTTCTAAGTGTTAATACATACCACCTGAAGGATTAAAATGTTCCACCGAAAACGTCTTCACTGAACTTGAACAAACATATATAATCATGCCAGTGAAACTGAATATCCAATATTGTTAGGGGATTTCAATGCAAGAACAGGTAATCTGGGTTGAGTCAAGGTTAGGGTAGGATCAGTTGGGTTCATTAAGTGTAGAGGGGTGGTAAACAGGGGAGAGAGTTCATGTAGAAGGCCTGGGTTAGGGATACACTGTTTTGGGGTACGGGGTGTGAGTACATGTACAGGGGCAGTCGTGATGGTGATTGGGGTTGGAGTGAGTGGAGCTCAGCTGTGGAGCTCAGCTG